AGGAGAAGGAGAGTAAGAAGAAAATCAACTTCAAGCTAACAAGAATACCAAGACAGAAGACCAAGACATTTCCTCCAAACAAGAAAGCACCACACCCAATCAAGCCGACCAAGTACTGAGAAACCATTGCTCAACCCAACACGCACCTAACGCTCACCTGACTCTGGTCCTGCCACCTCCTCGCCACGTCCGGGCGAGTTGCTGCTGCCTCCAACTTAAAACCCAAAATAACGCACGCGGTGTTTAGCCACGGCACCTTTCTCTCCTTCTAACATTCATTTCAATCCTCCCTTTATCCTTCCCCTGAACCTCCTTCCCCCCTGTCACCAGCATTTAAGTCAAGTCAAGTCCGAATTTCATCAAGAGGGAGTGAGCGGTCAGTCGACAAGGTGAGGCCTATACATGTATAGATATTACCATAACCCTGGGAATATTATGGTTTCACACATACTAGGAATTCGGAAAATTCGGCCTTGATCCCGGATTTTAGGAAGGCAAATTACGGTAGCTTAAGGAGAGACCTAAGGGATGACCCTATGGTCAAAAGATTAATCCCCCCCACACCTCCGGAAACTGTCAAGTTAGGACGGGAAAACCCGGAATTTAATTTAGCAGCTACTTATGAACAATTTATTGCGACAATCCATAATGCTCAAAATAAACACATCCCTAAAAGAAAATTCAGATCGATACGGAACCAACCAAAATGGATGAATAATAGACTCTTAGATCTTCTAGGGAAAAAGAAAGGAGTATATAGAAAAGTTAAGAAAGGCGAAAATCACTTACTTGGTTACTATCAGAACCTAACAAGACAGGTAAAACAGAAATTAGGAAAGCAAAGAGAAATTATGAAATCAAGGTAGCAAACGAATCGAAAAATAACCCCAAAGCTTTTTATCAACTGTATAAATCAAAGGTTAGAGATACAATAGGTCCCCTTAAAACTACGACAGGAGAAATGACTGATGATGAGTTAGAAATGTGTAGTACGTTAAATAGTCATTTTCGCTCCGTATTCACAAATGAAAACCTAGCACAGTTTCCAGAAGTTCATAAGGTATATAACGACAGTATAGAAAATATGTTGATGAATATCAATATTACTAGTAAAGATGTGTTTAAAGAAATTAACAAACTGAAGCCTCATAAATCGCCTGGTCCAGACGAGGTATATGCTAGAATATTAAAAGAATGTAGAGATGAGTTGAGTAATCCATTAGCAGTTTTATTTAATAAGTCATTAGAATTGGGCCTAGTGCCAGAAGCTTGGAAACTTGCAAATGTAGTTCCGATTTTCAAAAGAGGTGATAAATCAATTGCATCAAATTACCGTCCCAATAGTCTCACGTCAATCATAGGCAAGTTGCTAGAGTCAATTATTGCTACGAAAATCAGAAGCCACCTTGAAACATTCAACTTAATTCATTCTTCTCAGCACGGGTTCACCCAGGGACGTTCTTGTCTCACAAATTTGCTTAGCTTTTTCTCAGAAGTATATGAAGCGGTAGATAATGATAAGTCATATGATATAATTTATTTAGATTTCAGTAAAGCATTCGATAGAGTCCCTCATGAGAGATTGATAAGGAAGGTAGAAGCACATGGAATAGGTGGATCATTATTAAAATGGATTAGGTCATGGTTAACTGGTGGGAAACAAAGAGTCAGCATAAATGGATTTAAGTCAGACTGGGGTGCGGTCAAAAGCTGAGTTCCCCAGGGATCTGTATTAGGCCCTCTGCTGTTTGTTATATTCATTAATGATCTTGATTTAGGTATAACTAGTAGGATTAGTAAATTTGCAGATGATACCAAAATGAGGAGAGTGATAAATTCAGAGAGTGACTTTGAACACCTTCAAAGAGATCTAGATACCTTACATGAGTGGTCAGTAGACTGGCAAATGAATTTTAATACTGATAAATGCAAGGTACTACAGATAGGGAAGACGAATACAAACGTTAAGTATAAACTAGGTAACACGGAAATAGAAAACTAAGATTGTGAAAAAGATCTAGGTGTATTTGTTAGCAACGACTTGAAACCTAGAAAACAATGTATTAGCGTTCACAACAAGGCAAACAGGATTCTTGGGTTCATATCTAGGTCTGTGAGTAACAGAACTGCTGACGTTATCTTGAAACTTTACCTAGCATTAGTGAGGCCACACATGGATTATGCGGTTCAATTCTGGTGTCCTTATTATAGAATGGACATAGATTCTTTGGAGAGAGTACAAAGAAGAATGACAAAAATGATTCATAATATTAGAAACCTTCCATATGAAGAAAGACTGAAAAGCATAGGCTTGCATTCATTAGAGAGGCGTAGAGTTAGGGGAGATATGATAGAGGTGTTCAAGTGGGTAAGTGGGATTAACAAGGGTAAAATGGAAGATGTTCTGAAGCTCAGTAATAACGAAATAACTAGAACAAATGACTTTAAATTAGATAAATTCCGATTCAGAAAGGATACAGGCAAGCACTGGTTTGGTAATAGAGTTGTGGATATGTGGAACAGGCTACCGAGTGCTATAGTAGGATCGGGGACGCTAGGGAGCTTCAAGACGAAGTTGGATAGGCACATGGAAGTGCTGGGATGGGTATGAAAGGGATCTGCCCTGTATGGGCCAGTCGGCTTCCTGCAGTATCCCACTTTCTTATGTTCTTATGTTCTTATATAGTCATGTTTACAATATTTAATGGTGTATCAGTAACTACACTGGAGTACTTTGGCTTGGAATGTTTCAATTCACATTAATCACCCAAACAATTTTTGTCTGGTCCGGAGCAGCGACTTTGCCGAAGACCTCGACCCTCAGCGCAGATGCCTGGCCGTGTGTCATCATTAGTGACTACTTCTGGGTCACTTGCCTTGTTTCCTGTCTACTGCTGCTTTTAGTTTTTGAATTTCACTTCATGTTTTCATATAATGATACTACTGTGATTATTTTCTGTTAATGTGCATCTTTGTGATGGAACTTATTCTTTGTCTGTAGTAGTGTCACGATACTTTTAGTCCATCAACACGTAATGTTTATCAATATTTATATTTCATAACTGGGTGGAGAACAGCCTAAGTTTCTCATGCCTCACTCCTAACTTGCTATTGTTATGTGTGCCAACAATGATATGAATGAAATTTTGTTATGCAAGTGCATGTCATGTCAAAATTCGTAAAAATTTCCTTCAATGCTCGTGTGCTGTGAGTCTCGGAGTGTTGTGGTGGTGGAATGTCTGCGCCCGATCACTCAGCCTTACCTCAACCCTTGCCTCGGCAAACACCCAGTCAGGGGGGTGTCGAAACTTTGGATTGTGACTGTACGTATGTGGTCGAGTGCAGTACCGAAGGCTTTGTATACTGTGTGCTGTATCCACACTGTTATGCCAATGGGACACTTTCATGTGATGAAATATATTTTCATGCGAAGCGAAACATTAATTGTGTAATTTATTCCTCCTCTTGTACGCAAATAATGGTTACTATTTCAATGATAATTACTTTTATACATGATGTGTCTTTACTGATACTTGAATTTAATCGGTGGCTGTAACTTGAAGTGTCACATTCCACCTTCACCGAGAGGTTCACATCTTTAGTTTATTTTGAGTCACAACAATAAAACCTGACGACACAAGAGTTTAGAATTAAAGAAAAAGTTTGGAAGTCTCGAAACAATCATTTAGAAGGTGCAGGCAGAAGAGTTTGGCGGCATTGGAAGTTTTAGAAGAGGAATTTGATTTTATTGAAAGAGATAGAGGGTTGTTGGAAGGGGTTTTTAGAGTTACCCGAAGAGTTTGAAGGTACTGGAGAAATTTGGGAAACTTGGAATTTTTATTGAATAGGAAGTAGCCAAGTAAAAGCGTGTATTTGCTCTCCAAGAAAACAATGAAGATTAATTTTCAGACTTATAAGATCACTTATGTTAGGAATGAGTAAACATGACAGGCCAAGGAAGTGATTAATGAGTGGATAGAACTAGTGCGCATGCCAGGAGAAAACCATGCGAGCTTAATAGGTGACGCTTTGTGGTCGAGAAGCTTTTTTTTTACCCTGTTGGTCGGGGAAAAATATCTACACCTGGAAGTATCACACGAGGACATGGAAACAAGTAGCAGCTAAGTAGGGAAGAAAATCTTTGTGTTAGCGACGGGAAGAGACATTTATCTCAGGTAGAGGAATGATTCTCTCAGTCGACCAGCCAGTGTCGATAAAGAAATTCTGTAAATATTACACGAGTGAAGAAAAGGAAGACACAAGTGATAAAAGAGTTTTCTAGACAATATATAAGGTTGAGGATATAATTTTAAACTTTTCCTCGAAAACTGCTCATCAATATACGATATCCTTTAAAAACAGATAATAGGTTAGCGATTAGGAATACTGGAGAGGTAAACAGATTAGAGTTAGTATGTGATTTTTTTTTAATTATATGAAAAACACTTAAAACTATTAACTTGAGAATATGAATGAGAGAAGCAAATGGCGTGTGTAGGTAGACGAATATATGGAGACACGTCTCTCAGTGTACCAAGTCAACATATGTAAATCATTTGCTCATTTGCAAGTTGTCATTGACATGGTGAGAATGAGTGAAGACACTGATATGGGAGGAGACAAATTAAAGACATATTCTTGAAGACAAAACAGTTGTTCGTTATCATTAGTCTACTGTAATATTATACGTGGATCTATTAATTTAAGATCATCGAGGAAGAGTTACTGCATATCTCTAAGACCATCAGATCAAAATAAAACCATCACGAGCTGCCATTTAGCGTCATGTTCCCTTAGACTCGCTCACACCAGAAAAACAAAGCCAGTGCGAGCATTCAACAACGTCCGGAACTTCCCTCCACTCTGCACCATGATATGTTGTCGGAGTTACAGCAGACGAACGTTCGCTCATCATCTGCCTGAAGTGGAGCTACTTCATAGTGCGATTATGGATTTAGGATCCAGAGTGTGTAATTACCTGAGTATTCCCTAACACTTACCATGGACTTGGGTACTGCATGACACTTGGGACAGATGTTCTTATGGAAGTGGAAGGCTTTTTTCCCCTTCAGCATCTCGATAAGCTTGCTCTTTGTCTCGGGAGGCTTCACATCTTTCTTCACTTCAAAAATGGAGAACACGAATACTCGGTGATTTGTACTGTTCGACACATCAGGTTTTTTGAGCATCTTGATAAACTCTGGGATATAAGAAGATATTTTTTATCAGTAATGTTATATACTTAAGTTTTCCTCGGTCATCCCATTAAATGTCTCGTTTTCTCTTGACACCCTATCATCACTGTGGAGGTTAAAGTCTTCTTAAGATTGTGATATATGATTTGTTGTTCTGATTTGTGATATGTTTTAGTAACTGATATGATTAAAGAACATTATTATATGATTTTGTGAAACAGTTTTCAATGTTAGAATATTACAGTGGTTTAAATGAAGATTGTAAACAAAATGTGGATACGTTTGTGAAATCGTATTACAACATGGAGAGGAATCTCTCTCTCTCTCTCTCTCTCTCTCTCTCTGGGTATAGGAAGGAACTGGTTCACAAATAGGGTGGTGGACAAGTGGAACAAGCTTAGCAACTTTGTAGTAAGTGCTGGAACTCTGGAAAGTTTCAAAAGGAGGCTAGATACATTCATGGATGATAGAGTGGTAGTAACTCTCGACAGGAGCTGCCATGCACAGGCCAACCGGCCTATTGCAGACTCCTTATTTTCTTATGTTCTTATATATATATATATATACACAGTATATATATCTTGATAAAATCACACGGGGAAAAGTAAACAACGGAGCACCTTAGCTTTCGTCTTTATTCAAGACATCTTCAGTTGCCTATGAAGATGTCTTGAATAAAAACGAAAGCTATGGTGCTCCGTTGTTTACCTTTCGTGTATATATACATATATATATGCTGATAACCACAAGGAAAGAGAAAACACGAAGTTCCCAAGCGCTTTCGTGTAATTCACGTCTTCAGGGGTGAGTACAGACTAAGGAGAAGTACAAAGACAAGGTGGATATATACAGAGGAGGGTGAGATCAGGTCCACAATGGTCAGGTATTCGGTAATGACCCTACTAATCTTTAAAAAGCACCGCAACTGTCGGTAGTCAGGTCAGAGGGTAAGGTGACCCAACCTTCTCACCTGGTTACAAATCTTCTTAATTACAAAATTGTCCAGTTTGTACATGCCATTACTCAAATTCATGTTGACTGCTTCGGTATGTTTAATGAGACTATATTCTATAATGTTCCTACTGTCAATTGAATTACAAGGCAATATTGAGGAGGCATTATCCCAGTCAATGCAATGCTTATTATCCCTCAAATGAACAAACAGAGCATTGGATTCCTGGCCTGTCCTAACACTATATTTATGTTGTTTAAGTCTATTTACAAGATCTTTACCTGTCTGGCCTAAGTAAAACATATTACATTCCTTGCAAGGAACCTTATAAGTGCAACCAATTGTGTTGTTGGGGGAGTTCTTGATTAACATTTTGATTAACAGTGCATGAGTTTTTAAATGCCACATTGACGTTCCAGGTTTTTAATTGTAAAGGAATTTGAGAGAATTTTTTGTGAAATGGTAATACTAAGAGATTCTTAAGGTCATGGGTGGGCTTGGGATCAGTTCTATAAAAAGATTTCTTAGTAATGTTCAGGCATTTGTCTATGAAAGATCTAGGGTATTAAGGTTTGAGCCAATATTATAGATATATTTATATTCCTCCTCAATGAATTCCGGGCTGCAAATTCTCAAAGCACGTAAAAACATTGTTGAAAATACTGACTGTTTGCCCACCATAATAGAGTCAAACTGATCCCAAGCCCACCCATGACCCAGTGTTATTGTTCCTAACTTGAACGAACAATGCACTGCTTTCAGATGCTGTTCTAATATTGTAGTTGGGCTGTTTAATTCTGAGTTGCAATGCTTTCCCAGTCTGTCCTACATAATTTCCATTACATTTGCTACATGGAATGCAGTAAACACTTCCATTTAAATTCAAGGTTGGGCTATTCTTGATTAATATATTAGTAATAGTTGAGTCATACTTAAAAATAACATTAATATTTAATAAATTTAAGGGACAGAACTAACAGGACAAATTCATTGCGATAAGGTAGAGTCAAAATATTCATAGATGTGGGAATTTGCGTGGTTTAAGTAGAATGAATGGATTTTTGAGCCCTTTTAAAACAATGATCAACAAACAATGAAGGGTACCCAGGTTTTTGTGCAATGGACTGAATGTGTTTCAGATCTTCATCAATAAATTCAGGGTCACAAATGCGCAAACATCTAAAAAAACATAGCAAAAAACTGACATTTTTGGCAGATTCATGGTGACTCGATAAAAAAATGTATATAACTGTCTAACTGTGTAGGATTTCTGTACACCTTAAATTTATAGTTATGACCATTTCTAATGATAAGCATATCAAGAAATGGAAGGGATCCATTTATTTCTCTTTCAATTTTGAATGTAATACTTAGGACAAGAGCATTAAGCTTGTCTAAAAATTCCAGTGGGTCACTGTTTCTTGGCCAAAGACAAAGAAAATCATCTACATATCTATACCATGGAGGAATTAAGTTCCCTATATTGGGTAGTAATCTAGTCTCAAAAACTCCATATAAATACAGGCTAAATGAACTGAAAGACAATTACCCATGCTCATGCCAAATATTTATTTGTAAAACTTCCCATTTGCTCTAAACACATTGTCAGTAACGCATAACTCTATCAATTTGAGAAATGTATCTTGTTCAATAGTCAAATTTAACAGTTGAAATTTATCTTTAAGAAATGAAAGTATGTCTTTCAATGGTACTCTTGTGAAAAGTGAATTTGCATCAAACTTATTAATTCACATGGTTCATTGTATTTCTTGAGTTTTTCAATTAAATCACTGCTGTTGTGTATATGTGAATCAGATATTTGGCCTGTAAGAGGGGATAGCATCCTAACCACTCACTTGGATAATTTGTACGTAACAGATCTTTTGTAAGCTCACAATAAGTGCTTTTATCACTTAGTAAAGAATTCAGCTTATCATTATAGTCGCTTTTATCGAAAATTACAATAGCATTGGACTTATCAGCCGTAGTAATATGGATATTCACTTTTCTTTTCAAGCTTATCAAGGCTGGTTCAAATCTTTTTGGAATGTTTGAAACAATTTCCTTACGTAAAACACTATGTATACAACCTTTAGGTATGCAAAAATATTCATTTGTAACATCTATCGACTTATTCTTTTCCAGGGTGATTATATCTTTAGCAATAGTAAATGGATTAACGCACCATTGAGTGATAGAAAACTTCCTACCAAAACCAAGCACAAGTTTCTCATTTATCTGTAGGTCATAAGATGATAAGCTTATGAAAAAAATTGGATCACTCTCGTCAAACAGAGCATTTAATTTAGCATTTAACTTCATTTTTTGGACCTTGACAATCCACTAAGAAATTGATATAAAAAATCACGAATGATAAGCCACTTATCAGCACAAACACTGTTTTGCATAAGTACTTTACACATGAGCACTGTGTTTAAATGCCAATTTTACACTATCACTTGAACCCTTCATAAAGGAGTCCAGCAGCACTTTATCCAACTCAGAGAAGACGTGATTGTCCAGATTTCTTAATCTTCTAGGGAAGACAGGATTTTGGAAAAATTTTATCATCTCCGCAATCTTTTAAAAACTTCAACTTGTTTTTCAGACTATGAGCTTTCATCATCTTCGCCCCATCTACAGTAACTTCAAGAAGAGTTTGTTGAAAGCTCATAGTCTCAAAAAAGTGAAAGGTTACAGGGAAATAGTGCTAGGAAATATGACAAACTAAATTAGGAAGGGAGTTAAAACCTAAACGCAACAAAGAGAGGACTCAGAACACGACTAACTTAAATGTCTACTACGCAAACAGTAGAAGTATGAGAAACAAAATGGATGAAATCAGGACGTTGGTATATACGGAAAAAATCGATATAATAGCATTCACAGAAACATGGATAAACCTAGACTCATGTGAGTTACCTGTCGAATACCAAATTGCAGGTTACAAATTATTCCATACCATTAGGCACATTAGGAAAGGAGGCGGAGTAGCAACCTATGTCGGGGATAATCTGAAGTGTGAAATAAATAAGGAAATAAAAGCAGAGCGGAATACAGAAACAATTTGGATAGAATTAATCGATGGTAGAGAAAAATTAATCACAGGAGTAATAAATAGACCTCCTAATCTTGATAGAGTTAATGAGCGACTTATTTGGGATGAAATGCGCAGGGATTCCATACATAGCAAAGTTTGTATAGTAGGCGACTCTAACTTTAGCCAAATAGATTGGATTGACCTTACAATCCAGGACTATATCCTAAGCAAACATATAACCGAACCCTCCCAGGGTAATAATATACTCGATTTTTCTGTCAAATAGAGAAAACCTCATTAGTAATGTCGAGGTAGGGAACGAACTTGCTAACAGAGATCACAAAGAAATTAGATTCCATTTAGAATTTCAGGGCAGCCGGAAGGAAAATTCCACTAACGTCCCAGATTTCAGAAGGGCAAACTTTGATAGTTTGAAAAGTCAGCTGAGAGAAAAGGGTATCACACTTGGGGGTGAATTACATGACTTCACATGAGGTGACCTCACACAATTTACCCACACAGGGCGCTCTTACCTTACCTGGAGACCCGACGGTTGAGGATGGCCAAATAACGATATCTGAGGTTGCTGAATTCCACAACAATTTGACTAATGAGTTACTTAATGCACAAAGGCAGAACATACCATACAGAAAACTAAGATCAAATGTATCAAACTAAAACACGAGAAAAGATTGGACCAATTCAGTCAGATACCGGCGAGCTAACTGATAACGACGGAGAAATGAGTAATAATCTGAATAAATATTTTTCAACAGTTTTCACCACCGAAAATTTAAACATGATACCCGAGGCACCGACTCTATACAGAGATAGTGAATAAAATAAATAAGCGAGATAGTAGTGACTAGTAACGATGTCATTAAGCAAATAGACTAACTAAAGCTGAATAAGTCACCAGGTCCCGATGACATATTTGCCAGAGTATTAAAGGAATGTAAGGAAGAGCTTAATATGTCCTTAGGAAAGTTGTTTAACATGTCCTTAAAAACGGGTGTAGTATTAGAATCCTGGAGGATAGCAAATGTAATACCGATTTTCCAGAAGGGAGATAAATCACAATCCTCTAACTACCGACCAATCAGTCTAACATCAATTGTAGGCAAATTACTGGAAGCAATCATCTCAAACTCTATTCAAAATCACCTGGAGAAGCATAAGTTGATCAATGATGCCCAACATGGCTTCACAAGCGAGCGTTCATGTCTAACTAATATATTAACATTATTTTCATCTGTTTTCGAACCAGTGGACGAGGGGCACAATTATGATGCGCTATATCTCGACTTTAGCAAAGCCTTCGACAGAGTCCCCCACGAAAGACTAATTAGAAAAGTGGAGGCTCATGGCATGAAAGGAGATATTCTAAAATGGATTAGGGCGTGGTTACAGGACAGGAAACAGCAAGTGAGCATTAACGGCACTAAATCCCATTGAAGCAACGTCAGTAGTGGAGTTCCCCAAGGCTCAGTACTCAGACCATTACATAGATATCGGCGTAGACATCAACATAAGTAAATTTGCTGATGCCACTAAAATAGGGCGTGTAATTAAATCTGACGAGGACTCCGCAAAACTACAGGAAGATCTAAAAAAAAAATTCAAATGGTCTGAAAAATGGCATATGAAATTCAATGTGGACAAATGTAAAGTACTCAGTATAAGAGCGCAAACAGGGAAACCAGATAACAGATAAACAACGATTTTATTGAGAAATCCGACTGCGAGAAAGATTTAGGAGTAATGATAAGCAGAAATCTTAAGCCAAGAAAGCAATGTGTATTTGCTCGAAACAAGGCAAATAGAGTACTTGGGTTCATACAAAGGAGTGTTAGTTACAAGACTAGCGAAGTCATCTTAAAACTATATCTTGGGCTTGTGAGACCTCACTTGGATTACGCAGTTCAGGTCTGGTCACCATATTACAGAATGGATATAGAATCCTTGGAAGAAATTCAGAGGAGAATGACAAGACTAATCCCCGGGCATTAGGAACCTTCAGTACAGAGTCAAGTTAAAGCTTCTTAATTTGCACTTCCTCGAAAGACGTAGAGGGAGGGGCGATATGATAGAGGTGTATAAATGGAAGTCAGGGCTGAACAAAGGGGACATTTCCAAGGTACTCAAACTATACAACCAGGAGCGAATTCGTAACAATGATTTTAAATTAGACAAATTTAGATTTAGGCGCGAAATAGGTAAACATTGGTTTGGAAATAGAGTAATGGACGAGTGGAACAAGTTACCAAATATCATCATTAACTCGAATACGCTGGATACCTTCAAACATAGGTTGGGTGGATATATGAGCAATAGAGGTTGGGTGTAAATGGGACTGCCCCATATGGGCCAAGAGGCCCGCTGCAGTTTTCTCCATTCTAATGTTCTTAAAACAGTGTTTGTGTTGATAAATGGCTTATCATTCGTGATTTTGTATATCAATTTCTTATTGAAAGTGACACAGTCCAAAAAAGGAAGTTAAATGCTAAATTAAATGCTCTCTTTAACGAGAGTTACTCGTCTAAACTGAGTGATCCAAAGTTTTCATAAATTTATCATCTTATGACCTACAGCCAAATGAGAAACTTGTGCTTGGTTTTGGTAGGAAGTTTTCTATCACTCAACGGTGCGTTAATCCACTTACTATTGCTAAAGGTATAATCACCCTGGAAAAGAAGAAGTCGATAGATGTTACAAATGAAGATATTTCCATAGCTAAAGGTTGTATACATAGTGTTTTACATAATAAAATTGTTTTAAACATTCCCAAAAGATTTGAACCAACCTTGATAAGTTTGAAAAGAAATGTGAATATCCATATTACTAAGGCTGATAAGTCCAATACTATTGTATTTTTGGATAAAAACGACTATAATTATAAGATGAATTCCTTACCCAGTGATGAAAGCACCTATTGTGAGCTTACAAAAGATCCCCTGGAAAATATTAATAAGTTATCTAATTCTAAAATTAAGGTGTTATCGAAAAAGAACCTAGATCTCATCAAACAGTTCTCTCAAATCAATCCCACTTTACCGTATATGAATTGATTGATCAAAACACATAAACCTAAGAATCCATTACGTCCTATCGTGAGTTCTGTTGGTTCTGTTACGTACAAATTATGCAAGTGGTTGGTTAGGATGTTATCCCCTCTTACAGGCCAAATATCTAATTCACATACACACAACAGCAATGATTTAATTGAAAAACTCAAGAAACACAATGAACCTTGTGAATTAAAAAGCTTTGATGTAAATTCACTTTTCCCTAGAGTACCAGTGAAAGACCTAGTTTCATTTTTTACAGATAAATTGCAAATGTTAGAATTGACTATTGAACATGATACTTTTCTCAAATTGATAGAGTTATGCGTTACTGGCAATGTGTTTAGAGCAAGTGGGAAGTTTTACAAGCAAAAATTTTGGCATGAGCATGGGTAATTGTCTTTCTGCTCCTTTAGCCTGTATTTATATGCAGTTTTTTTGAGGCCTAGAAACAGTGACCCACTGGAAATTTTAGACAAACTTAATGCTCTTGTCCCAAGTATTACATTAAAAATTGAAAGAGAAATAAATGGATCTCTTCCATTTCTTGATATGCTTATCATTAGAAATGGTCATAACTATAAATTTAAGGTGTACAGAAAGCCTACACAGATAGACAGTTTTATACATTTTTTATCGAGTCACCATGAATCTGCCAAAATGTCAGTTTTTTCTGCTATGTTTTTGAGGTGTTTGCGTATTTGTGACCCTGAATTTATTGATGAAGAACTGAAACACATTCAGTCCATTGCACAAAAACTTGGGTGCCCTTCATTGTTTTAAAAGGGCTAAAAAAATCCTTTCATTTTACTTAAACCACGCAAATTCCTACATTTAAGAATATTTTGACTACCTTATCGCAATGAATTTGTCCCGTAAGTTCAGTCCCTTAAATTATTAAATATTAATGTAGTTTTTAAGTATGACTCAACTATTACTAATATATTAATCAAGAATAGCCCAACCTTGAATGAAAATGGAAGTGTTTACTGCATTCCATGTAGCAAATGAAATGGAAATTATGTAGGACAGACTGGGAAAGCATTACAACTCAGAATTTAACAGCCCAACTACAATATTAGAACAGCATCTGAAAGCAGTGCACTGTTCATTCATGTTAGGAACAATAATTATCCCATAGATTGGGAAAACAGCTTAGTAAGACTTCTGGTTGAAGCAAGTTTGATTTGGGAATTAAATTCTATAATCCGTAGTGATGGTCAGTACAAAGCTGATGATATGTTACACAAATTTATTTGTCAGTGGCCCAAGGTTAAAAATGCTTTGAAAGCATTAGAGTTAGACGTAGGATAAATGATTAGTGGGTCCCACATTTTTGACCTGACTTAACATGTCTAGTTACGTCGTCCTTTCTTTTAAGCTTCTTTGTGTGTGTGGTGGTGTTGGTGTGCGGATTAGTGGATGTCGTATTTATGACCTGACTTTATGTTTAGTAAGGTCACCCTGTGTACTTAAGCCTCTTTCGGTCCATTGTAATTACGTTGCCTCTGAAGATGTCTTGAATAAAGACGAAAGCTAAGGTGCTCCATTGTTTTCCTTTTTCCTGCGTGATTTTATCAAGATACACACACACACACACACACACACACATATATATATATATATATATATATATATATATATATATATATATATATATATATATATATATATATATATATATATATATATATATATATATATATATATATATATCTTGATAAAAACAACGGAGCACCTTAGCTTTCGTCTTTATTCAAGACATCTTCAGTTGCCTCTGATGATGTCTTGAATAAAGACGAAAGCTGTTTCCCTTTTCCCGTGTGATTTTATCAAGATTTATCTTATCCACGTTTTCATTGTGGATCTACATGAAATATATATATATATATATATATATATATATATATATATATATATATATATATATATATATATATATATATATATATATATATATAACATAAGAAAATAAGGAGTCTGCAATAGGCCGGTTGGCCTGTGCATGGCAGCTCCTGTCGAGAGTTACTACCACTCTCTATCATCCATGAATCTATCTAGCCTCCTTTTGAAACTTTCCAGAGTTCCCGCACTTACTACAAAGTTGCTAAGCTTGTTCCACTCGTCCACCACCCTATTTGTGAGCCAGTTTCTTCCTATCTCCCTCCAAAACCTAAACTTATCCAACTTGATTCCGTTGCTCCGAGTCCTATCCTGCTCGGATATTATAAGAACTTTATCTATATCCCCTTTATTGATTCCTGTCACCCACTTAAATACTTCTATCATATCTCCCCGCACTCTTCGTCTTTCTAGGGAATGCAAGTTAAGTTTCTTTAGCCTATCCTGATATGGAAGGTTTCTAAGTCCCGGAATCATTTTCGTCATTCTTCGCTGCACCGACTCTAGTGAATTTATATCCATTCTATAATAGGGGCACCAGAACTGAACCGCATAATCGAGGTGTGGCCTGACTAGCGCAAGATATAGTTGCAATAAGACCTCTGCACTCTTGTTACTTACACTTCTAGATATAAAATCCAATACTCTGTTTGCCTTATTTCGAACATTAACGCACTGTTTTCTAGGCCGTAGGTCCGGGCTTACAAGTACCCCTAGGTCTCTTTCACAAGTCGACTTCTCTAGGTTGATATTGTTAAGGCTGTGTACATTATAAGTATTTGTTCTTCCAATATTAAGTACGCTGCACTTGCTGGTGTTGAATTTCAATTGCTATTTTTCAGACCACCCCTGCAGTTTATTTAGATCCTCCTGTAATGCATTTGCATCCTGCCCTGAATTAATTTTCCGCCCTATTTTGGTGTCATCCGCAAACTTGCTTATGTCACTGCTGATCCCAGTATCTAGGTCGTTTATGTAGATTATGAACAAGAGTGGGCCTAGTACTGACCCCTGGGGAACCCCACTGGTTATACGGCCCCACTCAGATTTAACACCTTCTACGCTGACCCTCTGCGTTCTATCAGTGAGCCATGATTTTTCCAATTTATAACTTTCCCCTCGATACCATGAGCCTTAATTTTTCTCAGAAGCCTCTGATGCGGTACCCCAACTTGAATCCGTTGCTCCGAGTCCTATCCTGCTCGGATATTATAAGAACTTTATCTATATAGGAGGGAGATAGGAAGAAATTGGCTCACAAATAGGGTGGTGGACGAGTGGAACAAGCTTAGCAACTTTGTAGTAAGTGCGGGAACTCTGGAAAGTTTCAAAAGGAGGCTAGATAGATTCATGGATGATAGAGAGTGGTAGTAACTCTCGACAGGAGCTGCCATGCACAAGCCAACCGGCCCATTGCATACTCGTTATTTTCTTATGTTCTTATATATATATATATATATATATATATATATATATATATATATATATATATATATATATATATATATATATATATATATATATATATATATATATATATATATATATATATATATATATATATATATATATTTATATTTTTTTTTTACTCTCGCCTGGGATAAAATTGATGGAAGGATACAGCTCGATATCAGAAGGAAAGACGAAATAGGTCTGAGAAGCTTGTCTGGCAACGTTCCTCCCCACGTTGACTGGGTAGAGGAGCTGTTTCGTTTTCCTGAAGGTGGTGATGTTGGTCCATCTCGGAATATCTGACGTGCAGTTCACTACTCTTTGTAAGAGGGCCTCACTCGGTGGTACCTTAGATAAACAATGGTATATTTTTGTTTTTATTTCTCTGTCTGTGTATATTCATTTGTTTTTGTTGACGTCTCTGAGATATAAAGTACTACAATGGCACTTTCGGCCAGGTAAGGTATTATTTTGAAGCTCTTCAAGTAGGAGAGAATGTTACACGATAAATTTACACACACACATACACGCACACATACTACTACTTCTTTGCTGTCACTCGCAATCAAGTATGACGAACATCCAAACTATGAGAAAATGATATGACATTATTAATGATGGCATCTTCGTTGCTGAGTTTTAAGGTGACTAAAGAGGCCGATACGGGACCGGAAAGGTCGTTCACAGATGTTGCACAAATGGAAGGCTACATCCATTGCAGGACGGGCAGCGGCAGCGTCTTTCCGGTGCTGGCGCTTGTCTGCCTCAGATTGCAGTCGGGCTAATTCGAATGCATTGACACCTTCTTGTGTAGTGCTCCCCAGAGAATAGTGGTGTGGAGTGATCGTCTCCCAGGTGAGGGGGTCGATTTGGCACTTTTTCAGGTTTCTCTTAAGACTATCCTTATACCTTTTCAGCTGCCTGTAAGCGTTATGTTTACTATTTGTTAGGCAACTATAAAGTAGCTGCTTTGGCAGTCTACTGTCGCCCATGTGGGTAACATGACCAGACAGACGTAGTTGTTCATGGATAATGGTAGATTCGATGCTCTTACAGTAGGTGTCAGCGATAATACTAGTATTTGTTCTCTTGTCTTCCCAGCAAACTCGGAGGATGGAACGTAGACTACGTTGGTGAAAGTTTTCAAGTGCCTTGAGGTGCCACCGGTACGTGACCCATGTCTCGCTGCCATATAGCAGGGTGGGGAGGACCACTTCTTGATATACGTGAAACTTTCTATATAATTTCAGCTCACTCCAGCTGAAGACACGGGTACGGAGTCTGTCAAAGGCTTGTTATACATATTTGATCCGTTGTTGAATCTCTTTATCGATGTCCGCGGTGGTGGACAGTTGGGAGTCGCGATACTGGATGGATGGTGGAGGTGTGTCTGAACAATGGGCAGGTTGAAAGAGAATCTGAGTCTTACTTAAATTCATCTCAAGGCCGAAGTGTGCATATGCATCTGCTCAGGTGTTCAGATCCTGTAGGTTGCGTTCAGTGTGAGCGATAAGGGTGAGGTCGTCTGCATACTGAAGTTCAGTAATGGAAGCTGCCGACACCTTTGTTCTTGCCTGGAGTCGTCTTATGTTGAAAAGATCCTTCATCCGGTACTCGATGTCCACCCCGCCGGCACTGGCACGAGTAAGGAAAACAGCCAAGAAAATGGAAAAGAAAGTTGGTGCCAGTACACATCCTTGCTTTACCCCCGTTTGGATGGGAAAGAACTCAGACTGGGTGCCATTGACGCAGGAGACTGCCGTGTATGCCATAGTGAAGTTGCCTCGTAATGGCGATGAATTTTCGTGGGCAGCCAAAACGGCTGAGGGTCTGCCAGAGGGCTTCCCTGTTGACCGAGTCGAAAGTCTTGGTCAGGTCGATGAAGGCCGTGCACCTGTATCGATGTCATTGCAAATACCTACAATTGATTTAGATTCTCTTGCTGTATGTGCGTCTAGATTGGGCGATTACGCTGTGTTGCACAACCGAAAGGTTAGTAAATCGGTTAAAAGTCCAGTCAGATTTGATCACATTGATCCAGATGTGTTTGGACAGTTGCTATCCCAGTGTGACCAGCCCTTGCTAGATGGAGACTTAGACTTAGATGTGACCACCCGTGATGTGTGTGACACGCTGTATGAGTGTGCACGTGCATCTAGGGTACGCGACACGGTTTGCCAACCATGATGTAGCCATGGGTAGGTGGGAGTGCCTGCTTGAGGATAATGATGATGCCCAGTTGTGGCGTGCAATTAACTGGCGTGGAGAATTGAACAACGCTCCCACCTAGGCACGAGCTACCACTCTATCCACTGATCAGGATTTTAAAAAACATTTTTAGCAGATTTTTAACCCTCCTGATATTATAGAACATGACCTTGATGAACTGCACAGCAATGTTTATATTCCGTTGTTAGATGACCCAATATCTCCCCGAGTGGTGTTTCATCAAGTTAAAACATTGAAATGCAATAAAGCTTGTGGACCCGACGGGGTGCCACCAGGATTGTTCAAGCGGTTACCCGCGGCACGGATTGTGTCAATTGCAGTGTTATTTAATAGTGTGCTTTTGTCTGTCACGTATCCGTCATCCTGGATGACAGCAGGGTTATCTGTTATTTTTAAACGAAGTTTACGCTCAATAATAACAAATTATCGCGGCACTAGCGTGATCATTTCTATTGCTAAGCTTTAAGACATGATATTGTGCGATAGGCTTTGTAAGTGGTTCTTTCCTTACCGAAAATAAGCTGGCAATCAGGCAGGTAGGGGATGCCTAGAACATATTGTTACGTTGCGCCTGCTTACAGACCTAGCTAGGAGGAAGAAATTTAAATTGTTCGTCACATTTGTCGATTTTACGCAGGCGTATGATAGGGTCCCGAGAAATGTATTATTTTTAACGTTAAAACAGTTAGGTCGTGGCATGAATATGTTATTTGGTAACTAACTGCATTGTTGGCACTGCACTCGTCACCGCCACTGTAGGAGTGCGCCAAGGGTCCCCCCCTACATCCTGCCTCCTATTTGTGATCTTTGTTAACAATCTAATCAGAATGATTAAACAGAACTGCGGTGTAGACGGTTTCCTCGCCTGGTTATATGTACAGTCACAATCCAAAGTTTCGACACCCCCCTGGCTGGGTGTTCGCCAAGGCCAGGGTTGCGGTTAGGCTGGGTGATCGGACGCAGACATTCCACCACCACAGCACACGAGCATGGAAGAAAATATTTACGAATTTTGACATGACATGCACTTGCATAACAAAATTTCATTCATAACATTGTTGGCACACATAACAATAGCAAGTTAGGCGTGAGGCATGAGAAACCTGGCCTGTTCTCGACCCAGTTATGAAATATGAATATTGATAAACATTACGTGTTGATGGACGAAAAGTATCGTGATACTACTACAGACAAAGAATAAGTCCCATCACAAAGATGCGCATTAACAGTCAATAATCACAGTAGTATCATTATATGAAAATATGAAGTGAAATTTAAAAAATAAAAGCAGCAGTAGACAGGAAACAAGGCAAGTGACCCAGAAGTAGTCACTAATGATGACACACGGCCAGGCATCTGCGCTGAGGGTCGAGGTCTTCGGCAAAGTCGCTGCTCCGGACCAGACAAAAATTGTTTGGGTGATTAATGTGAATTTAAAAATTCCAACCTAAAGTACTCCAATGTAGTTACTGATACACCATTAAATATTGTAAACATGACTATATGAATTATACATGTATAGGCCTCACCTTGTTGACTGACTGCTCACTCCCTCTTGACGAAATTCGGCCGCCGGCCACCCTTTATATATGCTGCCCTGATGATTCATATGTATTACGTGGACTAGCATCTAGTGCAGGGGTTTTCAACCAGGGGGGAATTTCCCCCCTCAGGTTTCCAGGGAACTGATACTAATGTGGAAAAAATAAAGGATTTTCAGTATTATATGCATATTATTTGGAATGCACTTTTTGAGGCAGACAATCTTGGAAAGGAGGGGGGAATGACATTCTGACATATGGTGAAAGGGGTGCATGGGGCAAACAAGGTTGAGAACCACTGATCTAGTGGTTCCAAGCCAGTGTTTTGGGACCGGGTAAAGTTTTTCATGCTCCAATCTTAACATATTATTGTTATGTGTGGCAACAATGTTATGAATGCATTTGTTATGCAAGTTCATGCTCTGTCAAAGCTCGTAATAAGTTCCTTCCTGCGCTTGTGTGCTATGAGTCTCGGAGTGTTGTGGTGGTGGAATATGAACTTCACCATCGTAGTGTCTCGTTACTACATTGCTGAACTCGTCTGCGTCCGATCACCCAGCCTTACCTCAACCCTGGCCTCGGCGAACACCCAGCCAGGGCGGTGTCGAAACTCTGGATTGTGACTGTTCTTGTCCTTATAAGTGACACGGTGCTGCTGTCAACGACCAGATATGGCATGGTAAATAAAATAAAATTACTTAACCAATATTGTATTTTTCATGGTATGAAAATTGACATAGATAAGCCAAGTTTTTCGCTATAAATGAGAGTGAGGCTGATAAACAAGCATTGGCTGTTGATGGTGTGTGACCAGTACATGCATTTGGGCAGCAATTAAAGTTCATGTGCAAGTTTAGTTTGTTGCATTTGTAAACAAGAACAATGATATCCCCTTTTATGTCAAGAAAACAGGTAGTTCATGCAGCATTGATGTCCGCCTTGTTATATGGTTGTGAATCATGGTTAAATGATGACGTTACGCCTGTGAATAAACTTTATATGTGGTGTATTAAACAGTTATTAGGTGTCAGGAAAACGACCAGCAATGATTTTTGCATGGTGGAACTTGGTTATACAGTACTCCGTTACGTGCCCTCATAATAGCTGAGCAGCGTAAATTTTTCTCAAGGATATGGACGGGAAGAAGTGAAATTGGTAGACGATCCACTTGCACATGCTATTAATGTTGTATTAAGCCTTAATACACCCACGTCACGATATGTACGCGATCTTTTATTTAATGATATTGATGATGTTCAAATAGCCTTACACACTCTGAAACAGAAACTATCAAACTCAGACTCAAGGAGAGTATAATTATACAAGACTATGAAGCAAAATTTTGATGTTCATGCAATCTATAATACAAAGATAAAGGTGAATGAGCTAAAACGAGAATCGTGGACACGAATGAGAGTGAGTGCCCATTCCCTCGCAGTAGAGGAGGGGCGCTGGAACAGACAAGTTAGTCTGCCCATTGAAGAGAGAATGTGTTCATGTGGTGTTATTCTTTCTGAATGACATGTTGTTGAAGAGTGCCCCGGAACAATAGATATATGCCATCAATATAGTATCTCA